TTTTATTTATCTATTCATGAGAGACACAGAGAGAGGCAGAGACCTAGGCAGAGGGAGAAGCAGGCTCCCCGCTGAACAGGGAGCCTGATGCGGAACTCGATCCCAGGACCCTGGGATCACGACCTGAGCCAAAGGCAGACACTCAACCACTGAACCACCCGGGTGCCCCCCACACCACGTTTCTGAAGTTACTTCAATAAATACTTTTTTGCTGCTAGTGATAACGAGGGTTTTGATTTGTCCTACTGCCAAATTCTCCAAGGCAGGATTTAAAAAATTTTTAAGGCTGTGGAACTCTTTGTGTCTCTGAATCCTAAAGATTTTTTTTTTCATGAAATCATTGTTGCTAAGGAAAAGTTCTAACTTGAAAGTATTAATTAGGTATTTTCTCTATATCTTTAAGATAAATTTCCTTTTTTTTTCCCTTGTGGAATTTTAAAATGACTATATAAAACACATTTTCCAAAAAACACATTTTTCTTTCTCCCATCACCAAAAAACGAATATGTAGAGACGACGTTTCTGGCCAGGTCTGGCTGAGCCAGGCTGCTCTGCTGGGCTCAGAGCAAACTACCACCAGCAACAGTGTTCTGAGCAGGAGTTAACCACCTAGGAAAGGGCCTATGGATAAAAACAATCAACAACTCTGATCAAGGTAACCATAGCCACAGATGTAAACAGTCTTTGATATAGTAAATGATTGATCAAATAGAATGATATAGTAAATGTTCAAATAGAATCAAATAGAATTTTTTTTGTTGTTGTTGCTTTTTTGTTGAAACTGGAAACTAATTATCTGTGAAAATGAGGTTTATTAGTCTTAAGATTTTTTTTTCCAGCCCTTAGCAAGTCAACTTGATTTAATGTGGAAATTCTTTTCAAGCCCATTGGGAGAGGCCTATTTTGAAGAAAGTCATTAATAGTTACGGGTATTTGGTGGAAACTTTACTTTAATATTTACAGAGTGACTTGTATTTACACAATATTTTTACATGTGTTATTTTATTTGATTCCAAATGAAAAGTAGTGAGGGTTTGGCCATCATTTCTGTTTAAAAATTGATATGGGTAAGCTGTTATTTACCTTATGGTTATAAGGAGGTTATTAAAAGAGGAGGTTTTAGACTTTCCAATGCTCATGTTCTAGCACACAGATCCTTTGAACCTCTCGGCTTCTTACATGTCCGAACAAATGGTGTTTTGACAACAGAATTCAAAGGCCAAATACTAAGAGTGTTAATATCTATTTCTCAAAAATTTGGTTTTTGCATAGTAAGAGTGTTATATGCCATTGTGAATCATTACATATAGTTGACTCTTGAACAACATGGGGGCTGACTCCCCACCATGAAGTTGAAAATCCACTTAAAATTTTGACTCCCCCAAAACTTAAATACTAATAGCTTACTGTTGACTGAAATGAACTGTCACTGATAAAATAGTTGATTAACAAATATGTGTTATATACTATATTTTGATTATAAAGTAAGAGAAGAGAAAATATTATAAAGAAAATCTTAAGGAAGAGAAAACACATTTACAGTGTGTACTGCAATAAATTTGGGTATAAGTGGACCTGCACAGATCAAGCCCCTGTTGTTCAAGGGTTGACTGAATTTTGATTAAAATACCATATTGTAGTTTGATTAAATGTAAATCTGATACAGGCTCAGATTTGTTCTAAGATGCTTTAAAGAGACTGGTCTGTGTGAGGAGCCAGGCTATGAGAACTTTAGGAGGCCTGCTGTGTGAACAAATCATAATTTCTAAAGAACTCAAGATGTAGACTTGAATTGTGATATGGGATTGTTGCAAGGGAAGCTGGAATAAGGATTATTCAGGTTTTACCCTCCTGATCTGAAGATAAGTGGTATGGCCACAAATTAATTGATTAATTAATTAGTGCAAGTGTGGGAGGAGTAGAGGTAGAGGTAGAGAGAGAATCTTAAGCAGGTTCCACACTTGGCGCAGAGCCTGATGTGGGGCTTGATTTCATGACCCTAAAATTGTGATCTGAGATGAAATCAAGAGTTGGATGTTTAACTGACTGAGCCACCCAGGCACCCATTTTTATTTCTTCTATCTCTATGCCAGGAAGAACAACAACTGTAGCTTTTTAGTTACAAGTTTTTTCTAACACTATCACAGACTTAAAAGGTAAGGCCATTTCGAGGGCTGCTTTGTCCCATGCTACTTTCAATCTAATGAAACTGCCACAGGACCTTTGCATTAACTATTCTTTTAAAACATTTTAAAAATTAAAAAAACGTTTTTAAAAAGATTTTATTTATTCATTAGAGAGAGCAAGTATGACTGGGGGAAGCAGCAGGACCCTGGGATCATGACCAAGCAGAGGATTAACCAACTGAGTCACCAGGTCAGTTAAGCCTGTTCACAGTATTTATCACAGTGTTTATTACTGAAATTATATTGTGTGTTTGTTTACTTGTTTACTGTCTGGTTTCTCCAGAATGTAAGCTCCATACAGGCAGTGACTGACTGGCTCACTATTTCTTTAGTTCCCCAGCACTGCCTGGCGCATGGAAAAATGAGTGAATGATTGCATGATGAATGAGCAAAGCTGGGGCCAAATCTATGACCTCTTTGACTTTAAGAAAAGGTTAAGGCTAAGTTAGAAAAATTTTGTTCTACTGATGTACAGGCATAACCCAGAGTCAGCTAAGCACTTATAATTCACACTAATTGTCTTTCTCCCCTGCTGCACTGTAAACAACTTGAGAGCAATTCTCATGAGTCTGGTTCACCAGTATACTCCTGGTACCTCAAAATATGCAAAAAGGAAAGTAGTGAATTAATTTCTTGAATTTGATTAAAAATATGAAAGGTTGGGGCACCTGGGTGGCTTAGTTGCTTAAGTGTCTGCCTTTGACTCAGGTCCTGATCCCAGGATCCTGGGATTGAGCCCCACATTGGTCTCCCTGCTCAGTGGGGAACCCGCTTCTCCCTCTCCTCTTCACTTGTGCTCTCAGTCACTATCTCTTTCTCTCTCAAATAAAAGAATTAAAAAAATATGAAAGGTGAGTAGGGATTAGCCTAGGAAAAGGAAGAAGATGGTTCCAAGCAGAAGGCAGAGCTTGGTGGAGGCCTCTGTCCTTGATACGAGAAGCAGAAGGCGGCAAGTATTCAGAGAGAGGGCAGGGTAGGGTATCATGCATGGCTGCACAAGTGGGTGAAGCTGGCCACGCTGGGCTCTGCAGGTTATAGGCTCAGTGGGGCAAGTTAAAAAGTTATATCTTTATCCTAAGAGCAACGGGCACCTTGTCACCTTGAGTGCACGCTAGAGTGACATGATCATATTTGTCACACCACAAATACGTGGCTGCACTGGGGTAGAGGGAAACCAGTGAGGGGGCTGCGTGGACCCAGGCGGGAGAGATGGAAGGTTAGGGTCTCTAGAAAGTGAGCCCCGCAAAGGGAGTGCCTGCTGTCTGTGTTTCATCCACTTCTGAGTTCCCAGCACCCAGAACAATGCCTGGCACCTGCTTTGTGGTACAATATGGATCACAGAGTATTGCCATGTCCTGTGACAGGAAGTGGCAGAAGAATCTGTGTTCCGTGTCTTTGTTAAACCAAGAGTCAGGACTTCCTCCTTTCTGCTTCCCCTGGGAGGCCCCGCTCAAGGCTGGCTGCTGGTCATCTTCTTGCTCTTGATGTCTACAGGTCAAAACAGAGAAACTCTTGAATCTCTCCCTGAAGTCTTGTCAAGAATTTGAAGAAGGAGGGTTGGGATCCCTGGGTGGCGCAGCAGTTTGGCGCCTGCCTTTGGCCCGGGACGCGATCCTGGAGACCTGGGATCGAATCCCACGTCAGGCTCCCTGCATGGGGCCTGCTTCTCCCTCTGCCTGTGTCTCTGCCTCTCTATCTCTGTGTGACTATCATGAATAAATAAATAAAATATTAAAAAAAAAAGAATTTGAAGAAGCCCATACTCTCATCATGAAGTCACTCCCAGGGACGCCCAGGTGGCCCAGTGGTTGAGCATCTGCCTTTGGTCCGAGGCGTGATCCTGGAGACCCGGGATCCAGTCCCGTGTCAGGCTCCTGGCATGGAGCCTGCTCCTCCCTCTGCCTGTGTCTCTGCCCCCTCCCCCGTGTGTGTGTGTGTGTGTGTGTGTGTGTGTGTCGTAAATAAATAAAATCTTCAAAAAAAAATGAAATCACTCCCAATTATACTGTTCAAATCTTTTTAAGCATTCATGTCAGGGATATCTCAATTTTGGAAAATGAGTATGTATATAAGGTACATTGTACATATAAATAATTATGAATTAAAAGTTGATTACAAGTGTTGTGTGTGTATATATATATATACACATATATATGTATATATATATATATATATATAATACCAAATTTTTTATGGTTATTTCTGGTTAGTGGGATTAGCTGATTTTAACATTCATCTTATTCTTTGCGACATTTTCTTACTTTTCCATAATGGACATGTGTTTCTTTTTTCTTTTCTTTTCTTTCTTTCTTTCTTTTCTTTCTTTCTTTCTTTCTTTCTTTCTTTCTTTCTTTCTTTCTTTCTTTCTTTCTTTCTTTCTTTCTTTCAGATTTTATTTATTTATTCATGAGAGATACAGATAGAGAGAGGCAGAGACACAGGCAGAGGGAGAAGCAGGCTCCAGACAGGGAGCCCGATGTGGGACTTGATCCTGGGACTGTAGGATCATGCCCTGGGCCGAAGGCAGGCACCAAACCGCTGAGCCACCCAGGGATCCCCGATGTGTTACTTTCATGAAGATAAAAAATAATACATGTTACTCAAATGAGGTTTATCATAACAAATCTAGATTATAACATAAGATGCTATTTTAGAAAATGTGAGGCTACTCTCACATTGGCCCTGAGCACTTGATTGATGGGTATACAAATTAGTAGATGATTTATATCTGTGAAGACATAATAAATTAGTCTTATCAAGAAACTATCGGACTTATGGCCCCTTCCCACGGACAAGGTACCTGGCGGGCTGAGTCCCAAATGGTAGATGAAATCCAAGTGGCTCACCTCTTACCATTGCATGTGACAGAGTGACTTTGCCAGGTAACCCAACTATTAAAAATGGCCCAAAGACTTGGAAATGAAGGAGTTCGCTTTTTGGGAGCCAGGCCATTTGAAGACCAACAAAGTCCAGTGTGGACAAGAAAGGAAGATTAGAACCTGTTGCTGTGTTTGTGGTTTTGCTGATCTGCCCCATTTTGGGAAAGGATATTTATTACTGAAAAAGACAACTGAGAATATTTTTCGAAAGGTAGGGATTGCTTACGTGTTGGTGTAGAGACCATGTGAACCTGCAGTTACCGTGTGATCATTGCTCCTGGGAGGGGGTGGACATGGCCCTCTAGGCCCAAGTCAGCTCAGGGAAGGGGTCCCTGCAGTAGAAGAGTGCTGCTTCCCTGACTGTGGCCAGCTGAGCAGGACTGACCTGAGGCAGGTGATTGTAACCCTTCTGTGGATAGTGCAGTTAGGTGAGGGGCAGCCTAGGGGGCAGAGCTATTGCTGGGACACTTGGTGGGAAATACAGGGTGGTGGTTGGTACCACTGGAGTACAAGGGATATTGAGTCAGACTCGGAAATGGGAAGAGGACTGGATCACGTAAGGGAAGGAAATTTGTAATCATGATACTTCCTGTTAAGCAGAATTCCCAAATCCTGGGTCCCATTATTCTTTCACTCTGTGGCTGGATGTTTTGAAGAGGTCAGTTAAGTATTTAAGCTTCTTGTAAAATAGTTATGAAAATAGAAATTTCTTTTAAGAGGTAGAAAATAAATTCTTTTCTCTCTAAGAGGGCATATACTAAACTGAAGCCAGACAAGTCTGGGTTTGAATCTTGACTTTGGGCAAAATTTCCTCAATAGTAAAATGAAGAAAATAATACTAGTTACCTGATAGAGTTACAGTAATGACTAATGAAATAATTTGTGTAAAATATTTAGGACAGTGTTCAATCATTGCTAACTAGTGTTATTATTTATGTTAGGAACCTATGAAGACATGGGCACAGATGGGCTCGGTGACCTCACCAACGTGTTGTATCTGCAATAGTCAGCAGGTTTGGATTGCTGCGTGCATGTGCATCTAGCAGATAACTCCTCAGTCCTCTGTCTCCTGGGCTGGGAGCCTTGTCGTGAAGTGGAATGAAGTGGAAAAGTGGAACTGGTAATAAGATCCTGTTATTTCTAAAGGAAAGGTAGACTGTGTATTCTGTGTTTGTATAGGGAACGTGGAAAGTGTATTATCAAATACAGCTACATGACACATGGATTATTTTTTTGTGTTTGATTTTCTTGAAGAGTAGGATAGATTAGGTAGGATAGAGGGAGGAAATATTTATAATGGTTCAATGAAATTATCCAGTTGTTTCATATTTAGTTGTTAGTGTTTGAAGCATGATAAATCATCCTACTTCAGAGTTGCCAAGACAATCAAATTAAATAACAGATGGAGAAATGCTTTTCAAAAATTTAAAATTGCTACATTTACAAAGCATATTTGCGTGATTTATTTTTATCCTCTTATAATTTGGTTAGCTTATATTTTATAATTTGACTTTATAATTTGATCAGATTATAAAGTCTACTTTACCTTAGACGTCTAAGAAATGACAGGTAGAAAAATTGCTTTTTAGGGAAATAAACAATAATTCCATACCATCTCTGTGAACCGATCTGCACAGGCCATTCGAATCCATTCTGGCGTTGCTGGGCTCTTCACTGTGAAGTCCTCAGCTATGTCCCTTTCTCTGCGTGCTGCGGCCACAGCATCAGTGATGGCGAAGAACACAGATGACCCCAAGAACATCCCAGATTCCCCCAGCCCCTGCAAGAGAGCACATTTGTTTTAGAATCTTCTACACTATTCTACAAGCTATGCTATATTTCAGGGCCCAGGTCTTTATTCACCATTTCATGCCCAAATCCTAGCACAGTGTCTTGCTCACAATAATTCTCAATAAATATTTGTTCACTGACTTATTGACTGAATGAAGCTTGCGTACTCTGAAAAATCCCAGTACCACCTGAACTTCCCCTTGTGTGTGTGTGTGTGTGTGTGTTATCCTATTTAGAGAAGCACATGCAATGGCCAACCTCATGAGTAAAGAAAAATGCCTCATTATGACTCCAGCATCAGGGGAGGTAGGGTATTCTAGTAGAAGAGTATTGACTTGGGTACCAGACAATGGGTTGCAAGCCTATTATCTGCAAGGAATGGTCAGGTAATATAAATGAGTGATGTGGGCAGTTGGAGGACAGCAAGGAAAAGTGGAAATTATGGTGAAGTGGAGATACCCTCATATGCTGTCTAAAGCTAATCAATGCCTTCTAAGAATGTTACCAAAATGACCAGATCATCTAAGTTTTCAAGACAATTTAGATATTCTTATTTTAATGTACAATTCCCTGATTTTTAAGACTTATTTATTTATTTGAGAAAGAGAGAGAGAGAGAGGAGGAGCAGAGGGAGAGAGAAAATCTCAAGAAGACTCCCTGCTGAGCATGGAGCCCATCGAGGGGCTCAATCCCAGGACCCGGAGATCATGACCTGAGTTAAAATCAAGAGTTGGTTGCTAGGGGCACCTGGGTGGCTCAGTGGTTGAGTGTCTGCCTTTGGCTCAGGTTGTGATCCCAGGGTCCTGAGATTGGATCCTGCATCAGGCTCCCCACAAGGAGCCTGCTTCTCCCTGCCTCTTTCTCTGTGTCTCTCGTGAAAAAAGAAATAAATTCTTAAAAACAAAAAACAAAAAACCTTGAATTAGGCTTAACTGACTGAGCCACCCAGGAGCCCCTACAATTCCCTGATTTTTAAAAATACTGTGTAGATCCCAGAAAACACATCTGCAGCCTGGATTCAGCCAGTGGGCTCCCAATTTGCAACCCTGAGCTAGAGACATTAAGTTTGAACGCTGGCCCTTACTCTCTCTGTTTCTCTGGGTGAGGTTATCTCTCTGAGCCTCTGATCCTTTATCAGTGAAATTCAGGCAATGATATCAACATTACAGGGTATTATAAGTTCAGGAAGTACAAAATCACCTAGCATGGTCAGTCCCTGTTATTATTACATAGTACACTCCATGGGGGACCTGTAAACCCATGATTTTCATCATAGGGTCCACCTCTGAGTGGCTGGCCACAACCATAGAACTCACAGTCCTGCCTGTTCTATTGCTCTTGGTGGCTTGAAGGCTGCTCTTTGAGTGATTTTCAGCCTAATGAGAATCCAAAGGTGATGCTGATTGTTCTTCCTTTCATATTTGCACCTCCCACCCCTCCACCTCCCAGCTCCCTCACCATCTGCCCAGAGAAAGTTCCTAGGCTGAAAGTGGGTTCCAGTTTGGAAATGATAAAATTTCAGCCAATTTACATGAACTCATTTTTTTTATATCAATTTGTCACCCCTAGTAAGAAGTCTCCTAAAAGACATGAACGAAAATTTTAACAATACATCTCAAACCTAAAGGAAGTTTCTATTCTGAGAGTGATTTTCACACAATCTGCATACAGCAATGGAAATAAATGCTGACTTTTATTTTAATTTGCAACTCCATTACTTTGGCAATTACTAACGGTTTGTGTCTTTGCTTCCTGACACCACTGACATTTTGGGCCAGGTAATTCTTTGTTGTGGGGGCTGTCTTGTGCATTGAAGGCTATTGAGCAGCATCCTTGGCCTCTCTACCCAGAGTAAGAACATCTCCTCCCTCCACAACCCCAGTTGGGACAACCAGGTATGTGTTCAGACATTGCCAAATGTACCCTGGAGACCAGTTGAGAAACACTATTCTAGATCCATTTCTGGGTATGGATGAGGACTGTGAGCCCCCAAGAGGTCAGTGATTCATCTACAATCATACGGAGCTGGCAAGGCTAGGCTGAGAACCCAGGTCCACTGAGGTCTCAGTCCAGGCTTCTTCCCATGTTGCCACTCCTTCCCAGGATTTCAGGAGTATCATGCCTTCAATCCCATTTAATATTTTAGTCTTAAGTTTAGGTGAAAATATTATTCTATTAAATCAGAACTTTTCACAAAATTTTAGCATTTCCAGTGAAAGAGGATATTAATAAATAAAGTGGCTGAGGATGGCCATTGGGAAGAGATCACTTATCCTCCCTGAATCTCACTTTTCTCTAGGTGATTCTTCCCCAAATCCTGACAGTCTTTTGTGAGTCAGTCCTAATACAGGTTGACATTATTTTTTACTTTGTTCACCTGCTTTCATTTACCATGCAACTTGACCAATCACATTGCACAACAGTAGGTTTGGGGCCTTACTTTGGATGAATAGATGGTTAGTGGAGTTTGTGATGATGGCAACAGGGAGACATTGAACGCCTCTGGGATGTCAGTGATGGTTGGAATTTTGTACTCATCTGGGCCTCGAGAGTACAGAACACCTTCTGGGGAATATTTCAGCTCTTCAGTGGTATACAGGCCCATTCCCTGAATAAAGGAACCTTCAACCTGAAAGGGGGAAATGTCAAACTCTGTGATACTCTATGCTTTTTAGAAGTACTTACCTATCCTGCAATGACTTTTCAGGAAGTGGCATCCATCTCAGTGGGCCAGCACCTACCTGCCCAATATCAATGGCGGGATTTAGGCTGCAACATGCATCCATGATGATGTCTGTTCTGATTTTCTGCCAAAAAATGAAAATTACCTCACCATAAAAACTTAAATTAAAAAGATCATCTTAAAGTTTATTAAAAAGGTCTCCAGGTATTTCAGAATGCCTGCTGGTAAATTAACATGGCACTGAACCTCATCAATATTAGGGGTGGTAAGAAATCTGACAAACTCTTCAACTTTAGCACCAGGAATGTCGATGACCCCAGAAGATCTTTTGTCATCATGGTTTTGACTTCTCCTAAGTGACTCCAAAGTCCATGGTATGTTAGTGCCTTTGAGTGTCACTTAGTAAATAGTTGATCCTGGTTGTTCATCTGATTCTAAACCTGGGTTTCTTGTTCTAATACAATTAATGAGCTCATCTAGTCCTCATGATGATTTGATGTAGGTGGTATTATTGCTGTTTTACTGAGGAAGTCATATAGCTATGGCATGTATGAAATTGGAGATTGAAAGGTCTTGGAACATATAAAGGGAAAATGTTGAGACCAACTTTGACTATTCTAATTTACTTAATTTCCCAAGAAACATCGCACTAATTTGGCCCTTATGTTTTGGCATGCAGATAGGTTGTTTAGGAGCCACAGAAAGCCCCAAAATGCCAGTGGTCTATCTTGGGAATATCTCTGGACTTTCTTCCTGCCCCCATGCGCTTGTTCTGACAATATCAGGATTCTCTGCTTGGGCTTACTAGCTGGGCTCCTACTTTCTATCTAGCTCTTTGGATATCGGCAGTTCTTTTTTGACTCAAATGTTGACCTCTCAGACAAGCTTCTATGGACATTGGGACCAGCCTTCATTTATTCTCAACAGATAAGGCAGCAGATTGGACACACCTCAGAGTGGGCCTTTACTTCCATCTGAAAAACTGGTATATTTTGCATTAGGGGTGTTGTACAATGGGAAGAGATAGATACGCACTAATGGGATTGGCATATATTCTGGTTCAACGACCATAAATATCCAGTAGTAACAGGCCTGTCATTTAATTTCTCTGATTTCCCTTTAATTAAAGGAAGTTTTGCCTCCCTAAGGAATAAATTATTTCAAGGGCTGAAGTGATACCAAAATGACTGAACCTTAAACAGTAACAAGGAAGGCACAGGGACAACCAGATTTTAACTTTATCATAAATTCTGGAAGACCCCCATGAGATTTGTCTCTTCAGAGATTTATATCAAGGCCACCAGATAGAATTGCCAGGTAAAATAAGTATGTCCCAACCCTGCATTGAGCATACTTATATCAGAAATTTATTTGTTGTTGATCTGAAATTCAAATTTAACCAGCCATCCTGTATTTTTATTTGTTAGCAACAAATCTGGCAACCACCTTCAGGGTGGAGGATCAGAAAATTAGTTGATTTCTAAAAACGGCTTTCCAGGGGTGCTTGGGTGTCTTAGTCAGTTAAACACCTGCCTTCAGCTCAGGTCATGATCCCAGGGTCCCGGAACCAAGCCCTATATCAGGCTCCCTGCACAGTGGGGAGTGTGCTTCTCCCTTTCCTTCTGCCCATCTTCCTGCTCATGTTCTTTCTCTCTCAAATAAATAATCTTAAAAAAAATTAAAAACAGCTTTCCACTGAGTTTGGAGCCTTGAATGGATTACAGGTGTGTCAGGACACTGACACTTGGACTTCTGTGGGATCTGGGGCAGGATTCTTAGGCTGGTCACTTGCCAACATGACTTCCTTGTTTGCAAAAGTGTGCTGTATCAATATTATCATTATCTATGTGTACCATGATGTAAAAAATATTAGGAAACATAAAATAATCATACGAACAATCTGTGATCCTAATTTTATGAGTTTACTTCTTTACAATGATCTAGAATGAAAATGGGGATATGATATATCCTAAGGATGAACTCAAGTGGGATGTGAGGCCAACTGCTCTCCAGGCATCCCTTCATTTACTGTATTTTCTATCCTTTTTTTAATTCTAAAGATTTTTAAAATTAATTAATTAATTAATTCATTCATTCATTCGAACACAGAGAGAGAAGCAGAGACATAGGCAAGGGAGAAGCAGGCTTCGTGCAGGGAGTCTGATGTGGGACTCGATTCCAGGACTCCGGGATCACATTCTGAGCCAAAGGCAGATGCTCAACTGCTGAGCCAGCAGGCATCCTGATTTTATTTATTTATTTGAGAGAGAGAAAGTGAGTGAGAGACAGAGCATGAGGG